ATGTGGTTTCGTTATTAAAGAGAACATATTATGATTTTCAGAATAGTGGTGATAAGAGAAAATTATTTAAACTAGAGGTGTGAGTTCAAAGTGATTACCATGAGTAATTTTATCTTGGATTAATTTGATTTACGTTTTAAGATTAATTTGAGAAATGGTTAATTGAATATTTAATTAAAATATTAAAAATAGTCTTATTAATGAATCATGACGAACAATGATTTAGTTGTACTTTAAGAAATAATTATTTAGAGATGTGTTATTAAGAGAGACATTTTCTAATGAACTTTTGACAATCATGAGAATTATACATTGGGTATGGTCCCTTTTTAGAATGGTTTCAAGTTATTAATATAAATTCATGAAACAAGATTTTTTGATCGTAATATGTTTAGTTGATATGTTGATGAAATTAGTTAATGGACGATATGAATAATTTGATGTATTTTTATTGTTATTATATGGTTCGTATGATAAAATGATTTGATGACGAATAAAATATATATTGATTATTGATATGTATGATTATGGCATGATGATAATGATGATGATGACAGGGATATTGTGTGATAGTGATACCATTGACGTGTTTTGAGTATGACGTGATTAGAATATCGATTGGTATAAATGTGATTGGTAAATATAAATATTACCTAGATATTTTGTGACAATGTTGATATGATGAATGCTTTGATTAATGATGATGTGGATGAGATATTATCATGATGGATTTGTATTTGATGTGTTAAATGATTACGATGAGTGAATGAGGTATTGATAAAGTGAGTACTTGGAAGATTTGTCAAGTTTGATTGAAGAAAATGAATTACTTATATCATTGAGGAGATGATGATTATATTGAGATCATGCAATGCATCAAAGTATGCATAGATGATGTGAGATATGCATGGACTGGGAATATCAATGGGACTCTGTTGATTTCTTGGATCGATTGAGATATGATGGAAGAGAGAAATTGATATTGTTTGATCATGTTAAATCAACACATAGACATAGAAGGGCCTATGCCTACCCCTATGAGATTGATTGGGCTGCGGTCCTAATGAAAGAATTTATGATAATCCTAGATTTGATGAGATCGTGGTTTTTGTTATACCAACTAAGATGATTAGTTTGAGCGGGGTGAGCGTATGGTGACCTTAGCGCGCAAATTAATAATAAATGAAGAGTCTGCATTTCATGCATTGCATATGATATATATGATGGTGATAATTTTCATGAAGGAAATCGTAAAGTAATATTCAATTGATGATTGATTGAGAGATTGATATGGTTGTGCCGAAATGGTGATTTGATTATGGACGAATGATTGGCATGCTTGATGCTTAAATGATGAGTTGACTTTGAATGAACGGTTGACATGATGGATTCATGAGTTGAGGTAAGTTTACTATTTTATGTTGATATATGACTTGATTAATGAAAATCATACCATGAGGAATTGGGTTAAAGATGAATTTGGATTGATGACCTAGAAATAAATCTAGGGATTAATGAGATTTTTGTGTGGCATGATAATTTGTTGATGATGTGTTTTTAATCAACAAGATGTGATGATGTGATGGCATGCTAACAATAGTTTTGCCGTATAGGCCAGGTCCACACACTCAGCTTAGTAGCTGACCCATTTTTCTTTCTAGATGTGACAGGTGTGGTAAAATGAGGATGACTTTGGCACTGCACAATGATCGATGGAGGATTTTGGTTTAAAAGGTTTTTCACATATTGATGTACTCCGAAATCCTTATTTTTACGATTCGGGTTTTGAGCATGCATGATAGTTTACATTAGTCAAATATGATCATTAACTTGAGTTGAGCATGAACGGAGTAGACGAGATTGATAGTCTGGGTTTGTATCCTGAATGAATTTGACGAAGATGGAATAATGAATTGAGAATGTGATTTAGTAAATTGTTATGATGAGTCGAATTTTAAACATACGAGAATGATGTGGATGTGAGTTGAGTCGAGATTTTGAAAACGTAAACCCCGAGTGATTTCGCTGCGCGATTGAACCATCGGTTCGACCCATAATTTTAGGGTGGGGTGTTACAGATCGTCTCAAAGGCTGTTTGGTGACTTGGAGCCAAAGGCAGAATTCTTTCCTTATTTTATTTGAATTTTCGTTCCTTTTTCGTTTAAGCATTGTTTTTCGAGTTCTAGTAGAATAAGGAGTTGCTTAGTCGTTGTTAACCTAGCTAGGTATATAAGTACTCTTCAATTGCGTTGTAATGGATAATCGAAGTTTAATAAGAGAAACTTGGTTCATACAGTTTTCGTACTCTTGAATTGTCCTTGTTGAGTGGATTCAATTCCATCAACGAGCGAGCTCAACATCGATTAATTCACTACATCAATCGTGGATGAGTTGCTACCCTATTTGGATCAAGCCTCTTCCCCAATTTGGTGTTGAAGTTGCACCTTCCAACTCCATCCATTCCCCTGTTACTCTGTTTCCTTCATACAAAATTCGGTTTTCAACAGCAAGTTTGACAAGTCGAGAGGTTTTCAAGCTTTGATCAACAAGCCTCGGGGATTGGGGCTTATCAATTGTCCAACAAACCCATTAAGGTGAAAGTTCTATCTGCAGTTATCTATCATAATTCATAGTTCCACTCCCCAAACTCAAGTTGCAACTTATCAATGCATGAACAAGACTGGGAACTGTACATACCTCATCTTCGGGGCTTTTATGCAAATCTTCTTCTTTGATGTGTATCTATATGTTCTTTATGCCTGCAAATAATAATCCCAGGAGTGGAAATTTAGTAATGCAACAAAAGCAATGCCACATGCAAGACAAGATACCCAAAACCAATTAATTTGTCTCAATTTCCAAAAGTTATTGTACACTAAACCGCAACAGAATAACTTAGGGGTCGTTTGGAAATTAGGAGTCTAAATGAGTGATTCTTTGAATGTTTGTATTCTTTACAATTCATCGTTCTTTTAACATAAACTTCTTCATAATGCATGCATTTAAATGAAACTTTAGAATCTGAATGGTTAGAATCAAGGTTGTCAAACCGGTTTAAGTCATTGAGCCGGTCAAGCAAGGGGTTTGAGGTTTAATGGTCTGATCGGGGTCCGGCCGGTTTGAGCCGTTTTAGACGTTTTCTAAATATATATACAAATAAAGTAGTAATTAAAAATTTAATGAGTGAAATAAAATTATCTTATATATCTATTAAAAACTTATTTTCAACAAAATAAATCTACCTAACCTCCATGATCCACCTACCATTTCCCTCTTCGTTCCTTTTCCTCTCTTCCGCCTCTCTTCTTCTCCCTGTTTAGGGGTCAGACCGGGGGGTTTTCTGGAGGCCGTTTTGAAGCCCGACTCGGGTCCAACCGGGGGGTTCGATAGGGGTTTAACAACCTTGGTTAGAATCATTCATTTTAATCTCTACAAAAAGGTGAGATTCTCTTGCTTTACTTTTGTAATTGCTTTTTTGCACTCTTATTCTTATTATTTTTTATATATTTCATATTTGTCCCTCCTTTAATGATTATATAAAGAGAAATTGAAGGTTATATAAGTTTTTTATCATTAAAGTGGGAATCTTTATATTCTTCAAAAGTGAGAATCATAACTACCAACCATCGTATTCTTACAATCATATATTTCTTACAATCACTACACTAGAATACATACATTATAAGAATACACATATTCGCAGACTCCCGACTTCAAATGACCCTTATTCATAAAAGTACCGCAAATTTCTCGTGCTCCTTTGCAGTGCAAGCTTCTTGGGCTGGTCCACGTCTACCAACCAAATAGACTTTCCTGTAGCAGTAACTCATTCATTATCATACAAAAATCACAAATTCCAAGCAAGATCTCTGATAAGAGGCCAAATGATTACAAGAGAGGGAACCTGATAGAGCTCTGCTCTAAAGCAGCCAAAGCATGACAGGCAATGTCAGTTGTGGCCAATTCTTCTGTTGGACGTAGAAGAATACAAGCAACACCAAGAGCTAATAGTTAAGCATAATGCAGACCATCCTACATAGTTTTGGTGCTACTACTCATGGAAAAAAAAGTATTCACTAATGAAAATTAAACATCGAATCTATCTATAGCTGACTAACGTAAGCTCCTAAGCCATATTGACTTGAAGGTAGGGCTGGAATTTGGTACCAGTATTTGGGATATACCGAATACTGTACCGAATTTATCTATATTGGTATTACGAATACACGTATTATTTTTGGGATTGAGATTGGGATTGAATTTCAATTGTAATTTGGTATTAGGGATTACGAGATTGGGATCGGTATATAACAAAATACCGATCAATAGAAAAATATAAGCTAGTCTGTATTTTATCCTCTCAACTAGACTCTCTCATTCACTAGTATACGACCCTCAACCACCAAGAGTGTCATTTAATTATACATAGATTATTTCATCTTTGTTTCACAATTCAAAAGTTCTCATCCAACTCAATTTTGACTTTCCAATTTAAGCCTCTCATCAGTCATCTCCCACCTAATAACTTGTTATTTTCATAACACCAAAAAGCAACACTAGTATTAGTCTTCTCTCAGCCTTCAATTCGTCAAATTAAAGATTACCAATGGCAAGAACTTGAGATGTCACCTCTCCTTCATTCTCCTTATCCATATCCTAGCTCTAGGCAAACTCAAGACTCTTTGCTTAGTCCTTTGCCTAAATTAAACAATCAAATCCAACTTATATATTTAATTATTTATTTCATATTTGATAATACCGATTGGGATACGAAGTACTGATTGGGATACTGGAATATTTAGGGATTGAGATTGGGATTGCCTTCAGGTATAATTCGGTATTCGTGATTTCGGTATTTGGTATTGGGATACTGATACCGTACCGATTTCCGCCCATAGATGAATTAGGTAGAAAAAGAGTAATCCTTTAAACTGAACTTAGATGACCTAGTATCACAGCCGTATCAGTACTCTTCAAATCAGGACTTAAGTTTCTGCAATCTAGATGTCCATTGTACCACTAGACAAATTCTTTGGCTGAGTATATCCCAGAAAGATCCTGAAAACATATCTACCCATACGTCAGCCAAAATCATCAATAAAATTGCCTTCAAATAACAATATTAATTCTAATTTCATTAGCATACTTCTCATGGAATACCAGGGATCTGTCACTTTCAGCACCATACACTTGGTTGAATGAATTAAGAGTTAGCCAAAACAAACAGAGAAGAGACAAAATGCCAACAAACAGAAACATTGGAGCATCAATAGAGAAACTTACCACATCATACAAGTTCGGATCTCCGAGAGAGAAATGGAGGACCCAAGAGCGACGTTCTCAAAGAACAAGCACCTGCCATTTTGCGCGACCCTCGAGAACGGTTCGTCACAATCTGTTCCAGGGTTTCTGGTAAATTAAGCTCAGTTAAGAGAATTATTTCCAATGATATGAAAAACGTTGCTGACAAATTGGAAATGCAAGTTAGAAATCCCCCAAGTGTGCAGCTCAACAATAGGTTTTCCAACTTCTCACATTTCACCTCTTTCGGTAGCAACCAAGAAAAAGTTCTAACCTTTCTACAGAGACAACACTGATGGGGAAAGAAAGGAAAAAGCCCTAGAAGCCCACAAGTTAAAGACCTTTCCTAGGAACCAAACAAGAATCTGACCTTCGTCTCTCGATGATCAGGGGCAACTCCTGACTGAACCAATCCAAAAGGCGTCGGCAACTGGTCGATGATATCGACTTCTGCTCCCTGCCCCTGGTGTGCATTCATCATCTGAATTTCACCAATTCAAAACTGGATTTCTATTTAACGCCCTAAAAATTTGAATTCATCGCCCTACACCGACTGCACAGACAATTTTGCCCCTGAAATATGACTTCCCCTTCTTTCCTACAGGCGTCGACTACCGCCGCCACCTCCTGAGCTACCGATGTCGGCCCGCCACCTCTGCTTCACCTCCCTGACCGAAATTGACACCCTTCCCCATGTCGATCCATCCCTTCCCCTTCTTTCCGCTAGAAATCGACTACCGCCACCAACTGCTCTGCCGAACTCAATCGCCGCCACCTCACTTTGTTGCTTTATAGATAGATCTGCCCGCCACCTCTGATCAGCCACTGAAAGAAGCAAATCCAGCCAACTCCCTCTGCCGCCATTGTTGATTGGTTGCGGATCAAGTTTTGGTTGTGGATTGGAATTCAGGGCGGAGCAGAACGCAGCAGTAGCAGAAGTGTGCGGCGGCGACAGTGGGTGGGGTAGCACCAAAGTTGGCCGGCGGCATCAGAGGTGGTCGACGGGGCGAGATTCTTTCCTCTCTTATGTGTCCTCGATCGCGCAACTGAAGGCCTGCGGCGGGGAATTCATAAGGCGAAAACGGCGGCAACAGGCGAAGAATCTCTAGGGAGAACGACGGCGACGAGCGTAAAAGCCCTAGGGCGAAACTTGGTTAAGATTGAAAATAAGTTAGGGGCAAAATCATCAAATTAAATAATTTTAGGACGATAAATTTAAAAAATTAGGACGTTAATTAGTAGCTCTCATTCAAAAGCAGCACAATGAAATAAAAGGACCATTATCAAATAAGAAATTAGAGAAACGAGGGTTTATTCCTTAAATATTGTTTTTATTAAATTTACAACACATTTTGCAGTTTAAAAACTATTTACACATATTATATTTTTAGAGATTTAGGAGCGAGTCCACCCGAAACTTTGGCGGGGCTGCCAATTAAATTATTTTGCATTAACCAGAGCAGCGGCGCCCGAGACTGAGGCATTAGCGCCTATTAATTTCACCCAGCGGTGGCTCCCAAGACTGAAGTGGGTTCGCTGCCTCCCCCACCCACTCCAGCACCATATATACAACGATTTTCCTTAAGTTGTTCACCAACAAAAAAATCGACAAAGTTAGACGAGAGAAGAAGCTCTAGTTGCTGGGAAAATGGCTAATAGGTAAGAGACACATTTTTTTAACTATATTCTTTAAATGCTATAATGATTTTGTTCATTTAGTAATTAGTGAGTTTGTTTTTTTATGTAGTGATTTTAGAAGATTTGAACAAGTCGTTCGGTGGAAATCGGAGAAAGTAGAGCACAATTTGAGCGTCTATTTCATTGGTGGTAGAAGTTTTCAGTTGACGGTTCCATCCAGGGTGACATATCAAAAACTTTGTGAGAATCTAATTAAGAGAATATGGCGTAAAGACGAAGCAGTACAAGATAGTGATGTGATCACATGTTTCACTTATGTCTTCTAGAATGACGAAATGGTGTTTTAATTCATGCTGCCTATCGTGAATGATGATAGCTTGAATGCACTTTGGAATTTTATGGCACAAAACCCTTATTATTTGGGTGCTGAGATACATGCTGAGCTCAGTGAGGATCCGGATGGAGAGGAAGAAGATGAGACATGGAGCATGCCATCCGATCATGACGATGTTGACGGAGAGGAGGAAGATGGAGAAAGAGAGTAGCCTAATTATCCTCAATATTTTTACTTGCAGGGTAATGAAGTGGACGACGAATTATCATATGCTAATTCATATGACGTAATACCAATGCCTATTGTTGCTGGTTTTGAATGAGAATTCTACAAGGGGCAGATATTTTACTTGAAACAAACTGCATAGGTGGCGATTAAACACCACTCACTACAAGGCAACTTTCATGGTGCCTCCCGTCGGGGCTGGCCTCTTGTTATCGCCTACATTCTTGGAAGACAATAACTCCACGAACGAAGTAGAAAGCTCACCCGAGAATTACCGACCACGATCCCAACCTGTCTGACAATAAAGGATTGACCAAATTGCTTTCCTGATTTTTACCCTTTGTCCATGAAAGCATTACTTCACCAAAGCATTACCAAGCCTTACTCAGCAGCAAGTTTCTCTACGGACAACCACTGCAATATCACTGTGATGGCGAGAAGGTTGCAGCGACGTCAGCGGTTCCAAAAGATCAATGAACGGGCATCAGAAACCAAAGCAAGCTTCTTTGAGGACGACCACTTGTCTCAATTGGGCCGAGACAGAAATCAGGCCCAAACAATACATCTGCAGCTAGGGGTGGGCAATGGTCGGGTTGGGTGGATTTTCGTCTCAAATTTCCTAGCGAGTTGGAATAATTATGACCCGCAATCCACCCACATTCTTCTACGGGTCGGGTTGGGTGAATGACGGATGGATGCGGTTGGGTCGTGCATTAACCCGCAAAAATAATTCTCCAACAAGCTATTAAGAACGTTGATTAACATTTATAATAAGCTCATAGCAAATTAGGAAGACTGTATCAATTTAGACACTTCTCACTTTGTCTGAAGTGAATCCATGTAGTATTTGTATAAAAAAATTTACGACTCTAACATCCAATTGTGTAGAGAAACTTACGCATTATTTGATTTTGATACAATTTATAATTTGTAATTTTCATCCCAATATTTAATGGATATTAATAATAATTCACATTCAAATATCCAATATCTAATAGATATTACACAAAACAATATCCAATAATAATAGTCAAAACTATTTTTTTCTCCACCTTTAGAAATATATGGTGAGACTGTAGTGTGGTTCGGAAATATGATGAATATTCGATACTATAAGAAAAAATATTTTTTCGTGTGAAAATATGATGCGGGTCATTCGGGTTATCCGCAATTCACCCACCATCCACCCACCATCCACCCACATAAATGCGGGTGGAAGATTCATCAATCCACAATCTACCCACATCAATCACCCACTACTTACGGGTCGGGTTATTTGCGGGTGGATCGATATCAAGCCGCGGATTAACCACCCACGTGCCCACCCCTATCTGCAGCCCCCAATCCAAAACTATAATTTTCTCCACTCCCCAAAATGCCCCTCCACAAAACGCTATTGAAGGCAGGAATTTTTAAATGAGGTTGTTGTTTTCTCATCTTGGTATTAATTAAAGTACTAGCTTATAACCCGGCCCGTTGACCGGAATGTTCATATTTGTTATTTATATTTGTATGTTACCTTTAAGTTTGTCAACTGTTTCAGTATATTGACAATCCTTTGATGATACATAAAGATTATAAGTCGAAATTCGGAGAAATACCTTAATTGTTAAGAATATAAAAATGTATCCTTAATCTCGTTTGCATAATGATAATTAAGCTCCCACTAAAATGCTATTGGTTGGTTGATTGCCAAGAAAGAGTATAAAAGCTCACTGGAATTCCACACAATACATAGATAGTTTGAAACGAAACCGAAACCTCACAACCTACACAAAGGGTTTAATGCTCTCATTTTAGAGCAACATGCCACTAATCAGAGGATAAGAAAAGTTACCCTCAAGTCAACCATAAACTAACAACTCAGTAAACGAAGACCATAAAAACTTCAGACCAAACGAAAAAATTAGGGTAACCTCCTATATAGTAATAGGTTGGATCAAAGTAAGGCACAAAATTAAACACTCCTTATCTACCGCTTGCAGTAGCTTGAATGCTCTGGAGGCATAAATTTTTTAATGGGGTTGTTGTTTTCTCATCTCACTATTAATTAAAGTATAGATAGATAGATGATAAACCCTAAATAGTACGCATGATTTAACCGATACAATTGACCATAACAATATGATTGTGTTATGCATCATCAGCAAAAAAAAAAAAAAAAAAAAAAAAAGAAGATCTAACGTATACATTATGGTTTTCAAAATATAGACCAAGCGACAAGCACTGAAACTACGTTGCAACTTTCAGCGAATCCTCCCAGCTGCCTAGCTTCACCCTGGGCTTGTTCTTCAGGCTCCCATGTTTTCTCTCTTCACAGTCTATCTTCTCCCATCCACTTAACGACACGACTCGCACATTCCTATCGTCGAGCAACTGTAGAACTTCTCTGCTGGGCTTCATCGAGCTAGATGGTGACGCTATCAAGCCATGTTCAAGGTCGTGCGATATGCTCGCCACCTTTCATTGTCAACCACGCACACGAAGTTAATCAGCCAGTTAAACTAATGATGAAAAATAGAAACTTTCCATGGATTGTTGAAGCATACAGTTTCTTCTACGCAGTGTAGGTGATAAGAATCTGAGCTCGTGAAAGCTTAGGTTCTTCTATCAAAGTCGCGTGGCTTCGATCTTTTTAGGGTTTTCTGGAGGCTAAATTAGACGATTGGTCACTCAAATTATACAAATCTTTCACGTTTGCCACTCAAATTACTTTTCTTTCTTATTCGCCATTGACTTTACGAATCATTTCACCGTTAGCACTAGCTGTTAGTCTCCATTAACTCTGTCAACTTTTTGATGATGTGGCAAACGGAATTGCTTACTAGACCGCTAAATTAATACCAAGTCAATTTTATAAAAAATTAAAAAATTAAAAAAATAATAATAGCCTTCCCTTCCTCTTCTTCCCTTCTCTCTCCTCGCCCCTCCGCCGCTACTTCTCATTGTCACTCTCCATCTGCTCTCGCTCGACGGTGCCGCCGTCCATAAGAAGAAAACTGCCAATTCTCGTCCGATTAATCTCCGGCGACGGTGTAAAATTCTCCCCACTACCAAATCGAGACTTGAAATACTTACAGACCTTACTTTTACTTCAATTTATTTGCAAACTTGAGGGGGAAAATGATGGTGATAATGATAAAAGGAATTGACACAATAAAAAGAAACCCAGTACCATCTAGATTGATGATTGATGATTTTGGAAGGAAGGAAAATCTAAAGAGGTCTCTCAGTACCCGTTTAATTCTCACCCCTCCCCTGCTTTCAAGAGGCCGAAACGTTTTTGTCACTGTTTTCCTTTGGAGTAGTCCCACAATCGTATCAAGAGAGGAGTGTGCTTGCTGGGTGGATCAGGGACCTTGAGGATCTTGTCGATGAGCTTCTGGCTGCGAATCTCGACCCTGACGCTGGCGCTCTTGTCCATCTTAACGTACGACTTCTTCTTCTCCGACTTCCGCAGTAGTGCACCCTTCACCTTTGATTTAATCGACTCCATCAGAGTCTCCTGCTGGATCCCCATTCCCCTGGCCCTTCCGCATATCTGCAATTCGGTTGCCCGTCCATATGATTAATTGTTTTTATGCTGACAAATCTTGAATCGCTCCTTGACGGATATTAATCGGACGATAACTTGTGGTTTTCTTCTTTGGACGGCGGCACGGGGAGAGTAGATGGAGAGAGAGACTGAAAAGTAGCGGCGAAGAGGTTAGGAGAGAGAAGAGAAGGTTATAATTATTTTTTTAATTTTTATTTTTTTTAAATTGGCTTGGCATTAAGTTAACGATACATTTAGCAATTCTGTTTGTCATATCATCAAAAAGTTGACGGAGTTAACAGAATCTAACAGAAACTAATGCCTAGTATTGACGGTGAAATGATTCGTAAAGTTAGTGGCGAATAAAAAAGAAAAGTAATTCGAGTGGCAAACGTGAAAGATTTGTATAATTTGAGTGACCAATCGTCTAATTTAGCCATTTCTGGATTTTCTCTCGAAAACTCAAACAGTAAAGGATACGTGGGGGTAGATACTCGCCACAATCAAGTGTGATCGCTTGATTGATAAGAGTCTTGCCAAGCTCTTTCAGAACCCTCGACAGAAAACTCAAACAAGAATCTTGCCCTAGCTATGGAATCCACCGATAGCTAAAACAATAAACCATAAGCACTCATGCTCTATGAGAAAACTCCTCAGAGTTAAATTTCATTCAACAAAATTCTCTAATGTCTAAAATTCGTGTTTAAAAACCCTTTATATAGTCTAGGGAAAATAAAATAACAAAAAACCCAAAAGGAAACAAAAACCTAAACCTAAAAGGAAGGCCAAACTTGGCCAGAGCCGAAACTCGGTCTAAATACCCAATCGGGTATCTTGCTCTTTCCAGGTCGGGGAAATTTCCTGCCTCGGAAACTCGGTCTTCTCACCCAAATCCCCGGTCGGGGATTCCTTTCTGCCAGGTCGCAATGCAGTCAAAAGCGCGATTCTATTTAGAAAGCGGAAAGAGGGTAAAATCATAAAGCGTAGAATCTAAGCGTAAAAGCGTAAGTTTTTTACGCATATTGTAAAATAACTAATTTTTTTTAAGTACGACATATACTATGTAGAATATGAATGCACAGAATTTAGATAAGTTAATAAATAGCTGCAATTCATGCTTAAAGTAGAGCACCTTATAGCATGTTAATAATATGTTCATAAACATAAATATTAACAATAAGACACATTCCCCTCTATGCTAATGAATTTGAGAAGATCCTAACTAGTGAATTAGATTACTCTATAGAAGCTGAGAATGCATCCAAGTACGTAGTATTTATCTTTAATCTCGAATGTATCCTATTGTTGGTGATTTACCTTTAAAATATACTTTTTTATAATTAATTTCATGAAAAGAATACCCATTTACTGAACTAAAAGCGTAAAACTGTAAAGCGTTTTGGTGAACTGGAATCGTAAAAGCGTAAGTTTTTAAGCATTAAAGCGCATTTTAGTACAATTTTATACACTACATATTTTATGTGAAAACGAAAGCGTTTTGGTGACCTAGAAGCGTAAAACCGTAAGTTTTTAAGTTTTAAAGCGCGATTTTGACTGCATTGCCAGGTCGGGTTTTTGCTGCTGGCGTGCTCACATCATCCCCTCCCCGTTGAAGAAGCTTTGCCCTCAAAGCTTTCCATCCTGACTTCCAGATGAAATTCCCTGTATAATCAGCACCTAGAAAGAATAAACATTCTCCACACTCCCACGGAATCAAGAGCTCAAACAATCGATCAAACATGGGTTCCAAATAATGAATGTTGAAGCTCAAGTCCACATGAATGTTTCCGTGAAACCTCCAGCCTGGTTTCCAAGCATAATTGGTTGCTCCAGCGGCTTCCAAACTTGAAGTTCCTCGTCCGAAACCTCCATCCTTCTCTGGACTCAAGGCACCACCATCTGCCTTATTGTCTTCAAAGCAATCAGTCATCCAAATCAAGCTATCAAAGATCAAATCTTGAAGACTCGTGCACTGCAAATCCTGATCATAATCAAATATAAAAGGACCGTGATAGCTCGATTCAACGCGTTCGATTTCAACCTCTTCAGCTTCACCACTTTTCTGTACATCAGAGGCTTCCACCTCCTTCTGATCAGGAATTGATCGACGACTTCTCTTCTTCGATGGCCTTTTGATCTGGAAGTGTTCTTGCTTCCTCCACCTTCTACTCTTCCTCATAAGCTTGTGGCAGTTGTGGTCCTTCCTTCTGCAACCTCTGGTGCGCTAGCTGTTGTTCCTATGCTTGCTGTGAATAGATGCGAGAATTTGGCCATCTGCCCTGCTTCATACTCCCGATGTAATTGTTGCAAGGTCAATCGGAAGTGAATACCTGTTTCATACTTCATACTTCCTCCGGAGATGAAGGTGCCAAAATGAATACCTGTTTCTGGTGCGTCAATCGGAAGTTTTTGGACCTTCTGCTGACCCGATGAACTCCACGGTCTTGGAACCATGGTTGTCCCAGCACAAGGTGATTTGCAAGCCCGTACACCACGTCGCACAAGACCTCGTCTTCGTAGTGTCCAATGGATAATTTTGCAAATGCCTGTGTGACCATGACGCTTGGAATCTGTTCGCCAGGTAGTTGCAGAGTATATGGAATGGGATGGAAACATGTTGGTAGCATCAACTTCTCCACCGTTCTATCGCTGATCAAATTTGATTTGATCCCTCCATCTACCAGCACAGAACTCAACCTCTCTTCAATCAAACAACTAGTGTAGAAAAGATTACCTCGCTCTGCCATTCCCGCCATTGCTAGACCTTCTTCTTTGTCCACTGATTTGAATGAAGCTCTGATACCACTTGATAAGAATCCGAGATCGTGAAAGCTCAGGTTCTTCTATCAAAATCGTGCAACTTCAATCTTTTTAGGGTTTTCTGAATTTTCTCTCAAAAACTCGAACAGTAAAGATTGAAGCAAATCAGGTCGGAAGCTTCTTACTACATGAAATCATGCATGTTAATCTATAGAGAAAAGGCATTGGGAGATTTATTGGATACCTGGAAGTCATAAGTCGAGAGCCTCAAAGATCGTCTCAAAGGATGTTCCAGACTTGGAGCTGAAGGCAGAATTCTCTCCTTGTTTGATTTGGATTTTCATTCCTTTTTCGTTTAAGCATTGTTTTTCGAGTTCTAGTAGAATTAGGAGGTTGCTTACTCGCTGTTAACCTAGCTATCTATATAAGTACTCGTCAATTGCGTTGTAATGGATCATTGAAGTTTAATAAGAGAACCTTGGTTCATAGAGTTTTCGTACTCTTGAATAGTCCTTGTTGAGTGGATTCAATTCCAGCAACGAGCGAGCTCAGCATCGATTGATTCACCACATCAATCATTGGCGAGTTGCTATCCTATTTTGATCGAGCCTATTCCCCAATTTGGTGTTGAAGTTGCACCTTTCAACACCATCCATTCCCCTATTACTCCTTTTCCTTCATACAAAATTCGGTTTCAACAGCAAGCTTGAGAAGTCGAAAGGTTTTCAAGCTTTGATCAACAAGCCTCGCGGATTGGGGCTTATCAAGTGGTATCTTGAGCTTGGCTCAACTCAGCGGCGCGTGTGACCAACTCCCACTGTGGCAGGAATGACAAATTCGTCGAAGGAAGGCAGCGCGCGGGCACAACAAGGTGGACCTGATCGAAGGGTCCAGTGGATTGTGATCTTGTTGCTGTCCTGGTAGTGGGACAGAAGTTAAAGAAGAAGCAGGCGGCTACATTTGGACTTTCCAACGCAGGGCGATCGTTGGCAGAAGAATCCGTCCGGGATAAGGAGACCGCTTTGGGCGACGATCCTGGCACAACCGAGTGCCATGATCCAAACCCACTTTGACAATCTGAATCAGCAATTGGCCGACCTCAGAGCGATGGTGAACGCCCCTGATAAGCAAAGGGATGTCACTGGGGAAGTTCTGATTCCCGAAGTAGAGATGCGTCCCTTCGTTGAACTGGAAGAAGTTGTTCACCTTGCGATTAAGGTGGAATGACAGCAACGAGCAAGTGCGGGAAGATGGTACTCGAAGTCTGCTCCGAAACACCCCCTGGAACTAATCTTGAGCAGACCCGGTTGGTAGGAGCCAAATTCGCACGCCGCACTACTGCTCCGGTGTCTCACGAGAAGCCGAGAGGATCGACGAGCAGCATCCAATGTTTTGAGTGTTTCAGCAAGGGCCACAAGGCCAACCAGTGTCCAAATAAGAAGGCCTTGGTGCTTCGGTTGGGGAAATCGTTTCCGAAGACGAAGAAGAGGAGGACAGGGATGAAAAGATCGAGTCCGATTCTGAAGTTGACGAGTCAATAGAAGCTGAAACTCCACCCACAAGCAAGCTACTCGCGGTAAATCGTCGAGCTCTTACTCTGGAATCTCGCGCTGACGAAGAACAACGAGACAACTTGTTCCACACTCGTTGTACAGTTGAGGGTAAGCTATTGTCCGTAGTGATCGATGGGGGCAGCTATAATAAGGTTGTAAGCTTGGATACTGTCAAAAAGCTCCGGCTAAGTACGATCAGACACCCTCAACCCTATAGCCGTCATTGGATAAATGAATATGGTACCCTCAAAATAAACAAGCAGGACAAAGTACGTTTCAAAACCGGCCTGATTCGGCCCAAATGTACACATTTTACCCCTCATTTCTTATTCGTTTAGCATAGCATTTCATCGTTCATCGACATATTTCACGCTAGGTTGTGCTTGTTTTGATACATTTCAGGTCCTAGCATGTGTGGAAGGGTCGAGGTCGGATTTTGGGATAATTGGAGGTCAAAAAGCGCAAAAAATCGAAGAAAAGTCTGATGTCGTAGCAGTGAAGTGAAGGCGACCAGGAAACAACCACAGTTCATGGTCGAACAAGGCAGTTCACGGTCTCCGTAGACCGTGAATTTGGACCACAAATCGTGAACATCGAGCAGTCCAGCGAGGTTCCAGAAGTTACTGACGACAAGGCAGTTCACGGTCTCTAAGACTGTGAACTGTGGCCATT